ATTTTGATATAGAATCATTAATTACGTATACAAACCTTATAAAAAACGTATCATTTCCTTATTTTAATTTCTTATAGAGTGATGATGTTATAGAACTGTTATGAAACTGTTGAGAAACTGATAGGGAACTGGTAGGGTGCCTGACAGGTTCTATTTATTTGCTAGTTTCCCAAGTTATTGCGCCTAAAGTTCTGGCCGAAATTGTGGAATAGTATTAGCGAATAAGTCTTATGTGAAGACTATACTATAGCTGAACACATATCTAGAAAGATGGAGCCTTCTTTCAATATTTATATAATGATTACGAAGAAAGCTATCCTAGATGTCATATCATACTAGATACATACTAGAAAAGTGTAGCCTTCTGCTATTTTTATATAATATAATTCTGCAAAAGGCTATACTTTCAGATACATATCTAGTTGCCTTTCTTTTATATTTTGCCGACTAAATTTGCTATAGCTTCTGTGAAAAATTATCTATAGAATCCCGGCAGGTAAGCTTTTCTCCTGAAGAATTTTGATTAAAAGTTGAATATATGAGAAAAAAATGTGTGTGTGCTCATTTTTTGCAGATGCATAGTATCAAAGGAGAGTATCCATTGAAAAAATAAATTAAACATTTTAGAAATATATTAGAGTATATAAAGTTTTACCTACTGATGCTATGTATATCTCAACTACTTCTAACCAAAATCATGAAACTGACCCAACGCTCGTTCGCTATGATGGCGTCGATTCTTTAGCTGGTAGCTTATTATATAATGATATTGTGATAGAAATCGATAATGGGATGACCGCTATATTTCAATAATGTTTATCTAATAAGCAACTTATACACTTTATGCCTACTGCTGTAAGTGATGAGGCTGAATACATTAATAGAGTATCCACCTATATTTTGCATGTTAGTGGTTGCTTGATTAATAGACAAAAGGCTATTGTAAATGTTATGGGCATTAAACCGGGACTCTGAACTATACTAATAGAACTCACAAATATAGTAAGAACACGCAATTAAAATTATATTGTATGGTATAACTCGGTTAATATTAATGCTAGAAAGATGAAATTACTATTATTAGATTCCTCTCGGTTAGACAAATCCAATGGTATATAATTCAATAAATTTGAATCACCAGTTATTGAAATAATGGGGTATGTAGGATAAGTAAATTTGTAAAAATAAGTAACTTTTGGCAAAGTTTACATATAAACTCTATGCAAACTCAAATGTGAGTTATATTAGTATAGTTCAGATTTCTATTAAACCTTTCTTTGATATCATAGTGCATAAAGAGGCATCATTATCTACATTTAAGATCAGATTAGTAAATATTAAAGATGGTTCTCATAATTATTTTTAAAAATTTTAACTAGTCGCAACTTAAGTTGCAACTCTTTGAGTTGCAATTATTTATGAATTTTTATATTAAAATAAATTTACAAGGAGTTGCCAAGTTGCAACTTACTGAGTTGCAACTTATTAATTATGGTTCTCATCTTTAGTAAATATACTGTCTAATAATCTCAAAGGCATATCAAAATTTGGGATCAAGCATATTAGCGCTTTTCTACTTCAAGAGTATCACCATATATACATGTTACTATTTAGAATCATTTTGATTGATATAAGATATTAAAAATGATTCGTAAAATTAGTATTAGCACTACTTCTAATGACTTAAATCCTACATACTATTACCGTAAAGTAGCTTGTGAAAAAAGATTACTCTTTCAAGTTGGGCAACATTAAGTAATTATTTCTATGAATATATTTAAGAGGGTACTTATTTTTTCTAAGTTTCTGTGAATAATTACAATTCAACAAGTGATGACGATTATAATAATCCATTATTATCCTCAGCCCTTTTATGAGATCCAACTCTTGTTCTCACATGAGACATAGAAACATATAGTTCAATTAGACTAGGCAACTTTTTCACTGCACAGAGTGATGAATCTAATGTATTTATAATCTGCATATCAATCCATTGGAAAGATAATCCCAATTCACTAAAGTAAATCTGTCTTATAGATGTTGAAATTGCGTCAGACCTACGTTAGACCACAATTATATGCAGAAATCAAGTAAATCTGTTAAAAGCATTTGTATTATGTTAGAAATGTTTAGTTCCAGATATATATATAGGCTTTAATGATTCACAATATGACTGGCTATTTATTGTAGAGAAAGCAAAAAAGCTAGGGATTCTCAAATGGATATACAATCAAATGTCATTAATAGGATTTCATAAAAAATCTGATCTGATCTGAACTTTTAGATTTGAATCAGATTTATCAGATTCGAATCAAATTCGAATTAGATTCAAACTAAATCAGATTTGTCAGATTTGAATTGGATTTATAAAATTCAGATCAAATTTGTCGAATTTGAATTTGGGTTTGATCTGAAATCTGATCTATTGTATTTATGATTATATTATATACATTCTATTCTTTACTTTTATTTATATTAAAAGCAAGTTGGATAATGATCTTTAAAAATTTTTATTTTCCATTTTTTTTTTTAATTTTCAACAATACATTAAAAAAAATTTTAAATAACAATTTTTAATAATTTTTTTTTTAAATTAAAAAAAAATTACATATTTTCATATTCATTTCATCTTACGGTTTTTTGCTTTCAACTTTCCTCACTTCTTCCTGTTTTTTTTCTTTGTCTTTTTGTCTTTTTTCTCCTATTTGTTTTCCTCTTTGTTATTCCTTTCATTTTTCTTTTTATTTTTCTCTTCGTCTTCTTCTTCATTTTTTTTTCATTTTCTCTTTCATTTTATCTTTATTTTGCTTTTTTATATCCTTTTTCATTTTCTTCCCCTTCATCTTCCCCCTTCGTCTTCTTTTCGTTGCGGAGAAAAAGTATTACGGGAGTGAGTGGGAAAAGGTTGGATTGGCTAGCATTTATCCCTTAAATCGTAGGATTTTGCAGGCAAATTTGCCTGCTTATTTACTATAAATTCTCTTCTGATTTACTTTTATAAATAATTAATTTTTTTTTTAAATTAATTTTATAAATATATAATAAATTATAGTAAGTTTTATCTTTTAATTATATATTAAAAAG